ATTCCATGCATCTACCAAAGTATCTTTATACTCTTTGCATACTACAAAACCATCATTTACTGGGTGTGAACCACCAGCATGAAAATCAAAACCAACTACCGCAGGAGCACAATCAATATTTAATTTTTTGGCTATGCGGAGCAAACCAGGAACTAAAATGAAATACATAACAAGTTACGATATAGAATATTTGAGCAAACAAATATACTTACGTTTTAAATGAACTGTTTCTTTAGGTAACATACAAGGTTTAAATAAATCAACATTGCCATAACAATTTCTAGGAACTTTACCATCAATAGCAGTTGGAGGGTCATAGGGTTCAGTTTGCCAATAACCAAACAATTCTAATGGTGGAGGATCAGTTCGAACTCCAGCCTATAACATACATCTATATCAAAAAATTCAAAGTTTTTATATAGGGTATTAATAACCAACCCGATCAAATCTAGGACGAGATTTAACTTGTTTGTATGATATTTCACCCATTTTAACAACACGTGCTTCTTTAAGCCAGTTATCTCTACCATTAAGCTCATGCACATATTCTCGTAAATATACTGGTTCATTCCTAACATATCCAACAACAGGTGCATCTGGTGGATATATAGCTTGAAATTTTAACAAGTGTCTTGATAAAGCATACAATGGATGATTTTTATACCTTTAAAAAAAAAACAAGAATAATATAACTAAGGTGATGAAAATCATATGTTAATATTTAACTCACTCAGCCACAGTTTTAGGCAATGGTGTTTCTTCTAATTGTTTATCTAGCTCTTCGTCTTCCTCTCGTTCTTTAACAGAATGTGGAGGAGTATAAGGTCTTAGAGTAGCTTTCCACCATTTTTGATCCACACGGATTTTTCGTGTAAGAGTATGAAAATATGGATCATAGCGTTTTGTTATGTCTTTAATGCTGTTATTATTATACCATGCCAAAACATACCGCATAGGATGAGATGTATTATTCTATAACATACAATTTACCAATCTCATGAATATAAAAAAGATTAAACTAAATATAACTATACACTAAGTTATTTTATATTTTAGAAACATTATTTATTATACTATTCAACTAACATATATTTCCTTAATGCAATGTAAACGCTGACTAATAACATCAACACAAAACCATTTTTCTTCCATTTCCAGAAATACTTCAGCCCAAAAGTCATTTTTAATTTTTTTTTTAATTAGGGTTTCACTATTTTCTAATAAAGTATTATCTTCATCATCAGTTGAAAGTACACGACGATCAATTTTTTCACTTGTTTTCACAGATTTTTTATTTTTAATTTTTTTATTGTTACCTACAGATTTAGACTCTTTAGTATCACATTTATTTGAACTAGTGTATGATTTATTTGACTTTTTGTTAAAATATTCTGATTTTGCACATTTATTATTTTTTACAAAAATGTCATCTTCATCAGACGAAGAAAATATTTCTCTTTTTATTATAATATTTTTCTTTCATTTTTTCACCAACTTTAGATTTTTTCTTTCCTTCTGTTTTAGGATTTTTTGATTTTTTGTTGAAATATTCAGATTTTGCTGATGTTTTTTGTTTTGTTTCTACTTTAGATTTACTACTGGATAATTTCATATGATTCTCTTCTGCTAATGGACCCAACAATTGATCAGGATTTGGTTTAATTGAAACAGCATTTAAATTAATCACTAACCTTACATTCAATCCTAATGACCTCAACATGGAAATAAACATTGCAATTAATTCATATCTAGTTTTAGCTTCGCGCTTAGAAAATTGTTCTACTAATGATATTGTATTTATTTCACTTAACGGATCAGTTTTCGATAAAATTTTAATATTTTTAGAAAACCATTTAATATAATTTTCTAAATAATTCAAATCGCATTGTTTTGGTGGATATGATTTTTCAGAAGGTACTAGAGACAATGCTGATCCCATAACTTCTGGTGAATTAAGAACACTATTCAAACGATTACCAAAAGAGATCCATAAGAGCAAATTAACTTTGTGAATTAAAATTTGTGTGTCTTTACATATTGTATTTATACGTCTTCTAAGAACATTTTGTACATTTTGATCTTTTTTACACTTCATATTGTTTGGAAGTTTGACTGTAATTTCAACCATATCAGGAATAGTATAATTTTCATTACGTTTCAACTCTTTTTCAGCTTTGTTATCAGTATCGTTTAAAACAGATCTTAAATTAATTCCTTCACCAACAGATAATATTTTAGCAACATCCATATTATCATAAGAACTATTTTCCTTAACATTGTCAATATTCTGAGATTTAATACCATCCGTAGAATCTTTTGTAACACATTGAGGGTTTAAAAGAGTAGTGAAATCAAAATTAGTTTGACAAATTTTATCATCTTCACTTTCACAATCAGACTCTTGTAATGGTTTTGATTTTATCTGATCACTCCCTTGAACATCAGTGTCACTGTCGCTTTCTGATAAATTTAACATACATGGTTCTTTAGATTTTGTAGCCTGTGCAGGCTCGAATTCATCTCCAGAACTGTTATCTTCAAATGAATCATTTTCATCAAGTTCTGAATAATGACAACGTTTACGTTTAATTGGAGGCTCGAGAATATTTTCTTCAGTCAATTTTGACTTGCACAATCGATTTGATCTGCGCAACATGATAGTAATTAAAATCTGAAATCAAAATTGTATTACTTCTCAAATAAATTTTAAACTAAAAATACCTATCTTACAAGGTTTTACAATAGTTAGGGAACAATAAAATTGACTGGGACTGTCAACAACACTTTTTACAACTATCGAACATTTTTTGATGTCTCTAAGTTATAATTATGAAAGCAATTTTACTTCCAGGAACAAAAAAAAAATTATTCAGAAATTAAGATAACCTACCAAATGTGTGATCAAACACCTAATATAACACTGATGACGATTTAATTACAGTGAAATGTCACAAATAATGATCAGTCATAAGAAACTTCGAATCGCACTTCGCAACAGAAATATAATTGAAGTCACAACAGCAAGTCGCAGTTATCGACTAAAATCAATTAAATTAACAATTGTTACATTAAATGTTGAAATATTGAATATCATTAGAAACGCGGGCACCAAGCGAAAATATGATAAGTAATAACAAAAAAATTATAGCTACAAACCCAGGTCATAGTCAACCTTGGACCAAAGAGTATAATTATATTAACAATGTCACTATTATCATTAGTTATCACCACGATTTAAGATAGTACTATCTTAAACCATAGTTATCACTTGACAGTATTATCGTGTGAACATAAAGCAATTTTTAGTATCGCCAAGTAGACTGATATATAAGTTGAAAGAATTTTCATATCCGCTAATCATCGACAACAATTTAAAAAATATGGAATCCGGTTCTAAAAAGTAAGAAACACGCTATTCTGTGTTAATTCGACTGACTTATATTAGTTAGATTATATTATGCTATTTTTTACTTACGAAATTTGATCACAATTCGTATCGGTTTGTTTGTGACGACTTAATCGTTGGTTTACAGAATACTTACAGAATACTATATTGTTGCTTACGATGCAACTCATCAAATATTCCTAGTGGTCGTTAACTTAATACAATGTTTATTGTTGATATAAGGCTCGGGTCATTGATTAGAGTACGCATATTAAACTATCATTAATTATTATACAATATATAAACAATTAAAAAATAATTGGGGTAAGAAATTTCATGATGAAGACTCGGAACTGTATGCGCAAAAAATTACTCAAATATATGCATACATAGGCGTCAAAAACATCATAATATGAGGTATGATATGCATTAAAAATTTGGAGAATATGCAATTTATTTAATAAAATACAATTTAAATAAATTGGGCATATGGATAAAATAATAAACACTGAACACTTGTGTCTTCCTGTAATACAACCTGTACAATCTTCATCTAACTTTAATTATTTTGAGTATAAATAATGATAACGACCACTTTGTATTGTGGTACAATAATAATGGCTTTATAAATTTAGGTAAAAATTAATTTATTAGCGATTACTATACGATTTCTCAGTAAAATAGAAATTATAATATCATTGTTAGGTGCATTGGGAGCAATACTAAAATAGCCATCAATAAATTAATTAATTTCTTCAAATTATATCAAATGTAGAATTTTGGTTGTTGTATATCTAATATGTTTTGTTAAACTTTAATTTTGCAAAAAAAAAAATTATTGTCTTAAATTTTGAAATATACATATAAAAGTTCTTAAACCAAAAATATGTGAATTCTTATAAAAAGTAATGAAATATGCAATATTATGCATCGAAAATGTTAATATTTTAAATCTATGTACTATGGATCGAATTTGAATCAAACCAAAATTTCAATTTGCACTTTCTCAACAAATATGCAAATACTTAAATTTTGAGCCTTGGTCATAATAAACAAAATTTTGAAAATTGTTTTGTGTTGTGATGATTTATTTTATATTATATAAATAATAATATCGAATCATATTTTTTAGGTATGGTCTGCTTGTTCCTAAAAAGAAATTAGGTGGTGTAAAGGCATCCAATGTCTTTGGTGATGACAGTGACTCAGAAAACGATTTGAAAAATAAACCTATTCAAGTATGTAAACATACATATTTATTAAATTTAAAGTCATCAAACCATGTATCTAATACTTATAAAATAATTCCTATTACAACATACATATTTTGTGGACAAAATGTTAGTGTTCATCAATATTTCATTGTCTGAACAAAAATGTATAAATAAAATAGTTTCTAAAAAACTTTTTTCATAATTATAATTTATACTCATGTTTTTATTGATGGTAATAGTTATTTTCATTTTACCATGACTTGCTTAACTTACAGACCAGCAACCAAACTAAAGCTCAACAAAGAAGTGCTAAATTAATTCACGATATGGCACTTGAAGAAGATGCTACTGTATTTCAATATGATGAAGTATATGATGAAATAGAGAAGAAAAAAGAAAATCTTGATGAAAAAAAAAAACAAATCGATAAAAAAGTATAAATAATTCAAATTGTTGATGTATGTTAAAAAAATATTTATTGTATAAAGTTAATTGTTTTCAGCCACGTTATATACAGAATTTATTAGTTCAAGCTGAGAAACGTAAAATTGAATATGAACGTAGGAATGAAAGATTGATTCAGAAAGAAAGAGAGACTGAAGGAAATGAATTTAAAGATAAAGAAGCATTTGTCACTTCATCATACAAAAAAAAACTGGAGGAGTTAAAAAAATTGGATGAAGAGGATTTAAAACTTTCATTAATT